GGGTATTTCCTTGTTCAGCTGCTTTTTGATACAATTCAACTGCCTTTTGTTCATCTTTTTCTACTCCAGTTCCATGCCGATAACACACACCAAGATTACATTGTGCATCAGCATTTCCTTGTTCAGCTGCTTTTTGATACAATTCAGCTGCCTTTTGTTCATCTTTTTCTGCTACAATTCCATACTGATAACACTGACCAAGTACAAGATGGTATTGAATATCAGCATCTCCTTCAGCTGTTTTTGCAGAGGAAGTCATGTTTGTTGTTATTATTCCTAGTTTTTTTGTAACTACCTTTAGTAAACTAATTTCATACAATTAATCTTATCAATAAAGATGTTCATTCTAATGGTATGGTGTAACCAGCTTGCGTAATTGATGCATAAAGTTTATGGTAGTACAGTAAATAAAGACTCGGATGTAGAAATTACGTTCACAGCCCGTCTATCTTTTTTGCAAATTAGTTCAAGAAAATAATATTGTTATTGTTGAACCAGCCGCTATTAAAAATAAATCAAAGAAAAGGCGGCAGCGAAATACTGTACTAGTATAATATTATTTGAGAAAGCAATGATAGGCAACTTGTGAATTAATATTAACTCCTAGTGTCTCACTGATAAATTAACCTATTCTTCAGTTTATTAAGGTTACCAGCTCACGTGTACTAGTAATACGCTCTTGCCAGTGCTGGTCCTAAATTGGGCTTGATTTATTCTCAAAAGCCTACATTTCGGATTCTGTGATATATTTATCAGCCAGCCTATCTTACCGTACAATAGCAAGGATAAAGCAACTAATAAATATAAACGGATAACATATCATGACTTTAAAACCTTTCAACTCCCCCAATAATTTATATTTTCAAAAACTGACTGGTAATTTTCTTCTTCATAATAAGAGTTACCAGTCAGGTTTTTAAAATACGGTCTGTATGAAAAGTTATAAGCATTTAAATTAGAGGTACTATTACTTTTTGTATTTATGACTTCCGGCACCATACGAAAAGTTTTGCGTGTGGCCCTCTAATAATATCTGTTTTTTGTACAAACGCGAATAGCCAACAGTTGTAAGATAAGCGACAAAGTTAGAGACCGTCAGTGTACAGTACTACTGAAACTGGTATAACATTCGCAAGACTCGTTTGTTACTATGACTGATCCACTTGGTTTACCATCTAGTTTTGAGCGGATCAACATCTTAGATGATGGGAATTTTATGTGAACAAAACCAATTATTGTTTTGTAGGGTGATATATTTTTATATAAGCAGCAAGCTTTCCGACAAGCATTTTTTGCGGCCACCATAGCAATAGCTACTAGCTACTAGCTACTAGCTACTAGCTACTAGTCTATAGTATATAGTAACCTTAAAATTGAAAAGCATTTTGGTGTAATAAAAGGAAAAACTGATACGTTGGAGATTGATTCTAACTCGTGTTGCCCACCGACTAATATTTTCATTTTGTCACCTAAGGTTTACATTGCGCGCAAATAGAAGTTATAGGCTGAGGTTGAGAAGAAAATGTGGGTTCAATCTTAACATATTTTCCGATCATTTAATTTATTTATTTAGGTACTGATGTCTTACCGTCCACGAAATCACCTTCGCCTTCGGACAATACCTCGACATCGAGGCAATATTAGCTAGATTACTTATTTTTCGAAAAGCTGTATCTAATATATTGTTTATTGGGATGTGCTGCCTCAATGATGTAATAATAGAGCGAGCTGAAAACATAGTCGTCAATAGGCAAATTACGGCACATGAATTATGATGCAAAACGAGGAAAAACACATACTTATACAGATGCTTATCCACGGCAATACTATTACGATAATTTTCTACTCGCTTTTTCACGTCTTCCCAATCGACGCCATCAGAAGACAGACGATTTTCATCGTTGCATGATATTTCTTCGACAAATGATATCTCGTTCTTGTCAACTGATTATTGGGCTTTATCGTCAAAATTGACTTCTCGTTGCAGACTATTTAGTGGAAAACTGAGTGCGTCTTCTCCTTGACCATCATGGCTCTCTTCTGCGTTGCCTTCGCCGGGTAGTGACTGTATCATCTGGACTTGGGTTGTGATGGCAGATTGCTCTAAGTAGTCATTTCCTTTTGCAAGGAGCAACGCGGCACCACGCAACTGAAGGACAAACCACAAATATGTGACAGGTACATTCTTCTAATTCCATAGTTCAAACCTTGGCATAACAATTATTTTTCGCCCCCTTGAATACAGCTGATGCGCAGCATACTACTTGCGAGTAGTTCGAGTAGTGTTTTTTGATACAATGCCCCCCGCATCCTCAGTTCACCGAGTTTGCCCATTTGCGCGAGATATTAACTGCAATTGTCTTTTCAGTTTATCCTTGATCATATTCAGTTTCTAATTAATCTTATTTTACTATGGCCTGAAATAGAATCGATAATCTCAATTCAAGCTGATTTATATCAAAAGTATTCCACCTAATAGAGACACATTAGAAACAGTATTCCTGGTAAACAAATTTCGGGAGAAAGTAAGGAGACTAGCAACAAAAGAGAAAATTTTATTGACTCAACTAGTACATAAATAGTCATAGTGTTTTCTTTTTTGACTATAAATGTTAGAAAAAAAAACCTAGAACCAATTGTAATCCAAAGAATAAACACGAATCTAGATTGAAAAATTTGCTGTTACTTGTGAATTACTATTACTGCTGCTCATACAGATGTTTTTGTTTTAGAAGGTGTATTCGCGATTGGGTTAATCCAGTTCTAATAATTTGTTTGATCTGGCGTAATATTCTCAAACTCTTCAAGATAATCTATTGCATTTTCCTATAGTAATGGCATTAGAACGCAGGCTCTTTTAAATTAACAAGCGTAAGGAAAAAATTAAAATTTTTTACCCTGATGCTTATTAAAATCTGATGCAGTCTCATTATGTGTTCTAGTTCTCGAATAGACTTCGGAATTGTACAATCGGCCACTTCAACCAATAAATAGATGCCTGGATATTGAAGTTTCATCACACAGACAACCATCTTGTATCCATTGATAAAGATTACAATCTTTTTTCCAGATGATGGCTGAATATTATATTTCTTTATATCAAAGTCCACCGAATCTTTAGCATGTATAGAACCCCTGTATATATCCCAATGAATTTTTATGTTGTCATCTTCACGTCTTGGACTTGTAACTTCCATATAAACAGATGTACGGGTATTATGTTTATTGTGAAGCATATAATCCGGAATCCGACCCTTAGCAGAATGCCTACGTAGTTTGGAAGATTTAGACTCGACGCTGATCCTATCAAAAAATTTACAAGTTAGTTTCTTCTGAAAATTTAATTAGAAATATATCTATAATAATAATATACTGTACCATGAATGTGTGGTAACATAATTAAAATAATGAATAGTCTTATTAAAGATAGGTCCCAAGTAGTCCACAATATAAGTTCCCTTGGTTAATTTTTCCATACAAACTGAAAGATCCCACGTTACATACTCCTCAAGTAATCTACAGAACGCTTTGATTACATATCCACCACGTTGTTGTTGTTTGCTGGAATATTCCTTGATATATGTTTCAAGCTCTTCAATAGCATCTCGTCGAAATTTCTTACAAAGGGAACATTTTCAGACAAAAAGTCTATGATGATCGTTACGCAATTACACATATCAAACCTTTTTGTTTGTATCCACAAACAACTTTATATCATCTGGAATTTCGATCTGTTCGAAGCATGGGATAACAAGCGACTTAACTTGGGAAGTTTCATTTTCTGTTAAATAATCGATATACGACCGTTCGTTTTTTCGCTGAAAATAGAATATTGATGATGCTACTAATAGAATATGAATATTTTGTTGGCTTGGACGATACACTCCGGATTCTACTTTCTTAAGCATATAGTGTTGCCATGTTAGTAGTTTAGTCTCTAATTCATTGGTACTCCTTTCGATAGCTTTTTTGATACTCTTTTGTATTGATTTTATTTCAGAAGTCTCGAAATGTAATTCTAGTTTTTTTTCATCAGTTATCTGTCATGGAAATAGAATAATGTGCAGTGCGTTAAGGTAATTATACAACGCCCAAAGTATTTTGTTTGAAAACACCTACATCACATTCGTCAACGATCGTCCCTGCAACCACCTAAAGTTATGAAAAGAAAAACAGCTTGATATCAACAATTCAGACTATAGAACATCAATCAATTGCAAATGTCTTATCGCGAACCTCTTCGTCATACTCTTCATCATGCTCTTGTGAGATCTTATTATATTCTTGTTGTCTGCCTTCTGCATCATCTTTACTCTTCTTTCTCCTCTCTTCAAGTCGTTCTTCTACTTCTACTGTATCTAACTCTGCTAAAGCACGCTTCTCGCGTCTGCCGAAGCTAGTCATGATCATAAAATGTCTTTCCTTTTCCTCCTGCTGTTCTATCTCATTCCAAAGTTTCTTCACTGACAATCTATCTTGTTTGAATGACGAGAGTAGTGACGACGCACGCTTGCGTCTGTTGAATATGTCAGATGTCGAAATACGGTTTAATACGTTATTATAGGTGTTGTAAATAGACTGCCGTGAGCTAGTAGAGATCCCATGGTTTGCGTGCAAATAGTCGACATATCCTCGAAGGGACCAGTCCGAGGTTGGTGTCTCATCGAAGTACTGCATTGCATTGGAGTGGGAATGACGCGTGCGCGCATCCTTACATCCAGGATTTGTCATGTGATCTAATTAATTAGTATTAAACTCGAAAATGCAAGTTCTAGTTCCCAGTTGCCAGTGACACCGTAGTGTTAAAAGTTACATATTGTCAGTAATTGCGGGAGCCTATGGTTGATGGATCTCTTGTTAGCAAGAGGGACTTCAATACGGACGAGGTTCCAGCAAGAGAAACTCGGCGACCGTCGCTACAAAGTTCCCCTGCTGTCCACAGTGCTAAAAGTTACATATATGTCAGTAATCGTAGGTGCCTATGGTTGATGGATCTCTTGTTTAGCAAGGGGGACTTCAATACGGACGAGGTTCCAGCAAGAGAAACTCGGCATCTATCGCTGTAATGACCGGGTGGCAACAAAGTCAAGAAGGAAGATGTGATGATGTTTGTTTTGCCGTTTGTTTTGATATTCTAATCTTTGCCTTACTCGGTTCTAGTACCTGGTTAAGTATAATTGATCAGGGCGAATGAATAACATGAAGGGAATCTATGGTGAAATCGAAAAATATGACGATGCAAAGGCAGGACGGAAATAATCGTTTCGTGCATGCTAACTATATATTGCGCTAAAACTCATAACACATTCCCCAATGAGTAGCGTCTTTCCATAAATATCCATTCTCCCAGAGTATCGCTATATTTTTTACCCATTCTTCGTCATTACAAACATATGATCGTGGTGTACCCTCATCCTCCCATTCGCGTAAGTATATCTGAGCTATGATTATCGTAGCTTCAATAATCTTAGCCGACTCTACAATATGTTCCGACGTTTCTTTCTCTGGTTGAGGCGACACAATTTCAGGTATTAGTATGTTGAATATCGGAATATCCGTCGAATTATTAGTGGGTGGGTTATCTTGCAGGATGTCTGAAAATTCACGTAATTTATTCACGATTTTAGAACGATCAAGGATATATTGCCATTTTCTTTTTCCGTGCTTCTAGAACCGATTTTGTTGGTTTATTGGCTGATCGTCTTAGTGAATGTGGATATGATATTATTATTGCTAAAGATTGTTCTTCCATTGATTCAACAATCACAGAAGACAAGGAGGGTAAAGACTTGCTTAAGAATATACGTGTTATTAAAAAAAACTGGATATGGAAAAATATTCGTCAATTGCAAATGCTCAGGTTCTGAATGAAATAGAAGCTTTAAGCATTTTTGAATGTTTAGAAAGAGAGGAGGATATGGACCCAGCTTATTTGCTTGCTTTGCAAAAGTATAATTTAGCGCATTTTTATAAGGCCTCGGAATATATAACTGTAGATTTTGTAGAGAGATATTCTAAAAAAGAAATGCGCAATGCCTATAATGGATTGGTTCAGGCTATGGATCCCTTGGATAACTTGCGTAATAAACATAGACTCATAATTGAGAATTATTCGCTGGAAAAAGCTTCTTGTGATTCGTTATTGCCAAAAGTTATTGCGTTGGAAGAGATTTTGCGAGGCATAGGTTTTCCTTCGGGCGTTCACACATCTTCTACGTTATGTCGCAAAGACTTTGATGCTAGTTTATCAAGCTTCTTACCGATTTATAAGAAAAATGAGCGTCATTACTATGCATTATTTGGTAAAAGATTGAGACAACATACCAATTATGATTTAGGTTACTTTACAAAATTTCTGGAAAGACCACTAAAGGAATTCAAAGTATCACTTGATCGAGAAAAAAACCGTAACAAATAACTTACACGATTGAGACTTAAAATAGATGAGCATCTGAAAAACGTTCTTCCCAGTGTTTGTTCAAGTGATAATACAATCATAGATATGCCAAAGTCAAATCTCAATCTCACAACCGAGAAGAAAATACCTGGAGCTCTCAATTTCTTTGTCTTTGGAATTTCTTATCAAAAGCGAATCTGATATAGATACCCTTATTTATCTTTTACAGCAAAAACTCCAAAGGTCGCGAGAAAAATTAGAACAATGGAGAGCCGAAATAGCTTTTGAATTCCGGGATAATATAAATTACTGGAAAAAAAATACGCGAGAGTATGAACGAAGATGATTTCTTAAAATATAAACGGGAATACGAAGCCCGCCTTGGTATTCCTACAACTCCATGGAAAAACGAGTTAAATAAAATTTATTCAATATCCATTGAATATGTATAACGTTCTTATCACAATTCGAATAGAAAATATAAACCACGCAAGTTTTTGGTGAACTAAGATTGTGGTTTGACTAGTCATTTATCCAGATAATAGTAAAGAGTTTGTTACTATTACGTACGTATTATCCCTTACAGGATATACACAAAAAGCTTCAAATCGAAAAATGATTTCTAATACCTGCAATAAACATATCACTATTACGTATAATTTTTAGCATCCAGCCAAAACCGCTAAAAACGTGCGACAGATATATATTATTCACAATTACCGTCCTAATTTATTTAAGACGTAAATAAGCAGGTAATGGGAAAAAAGAATGGCAATATGTTCTTAATCGGTCTAAAATTATGAAGAGATATATAAATTATTTGGTAGTACTGCGAAGCATCGCTGAGCGATTTTTAATTTAAACATATTTACTATATGTTTGTAGGAAAGAAAAGCGATGCTTCGAGGCTTTGTCTCTCAGTTTCTACCAGTTCGTTGGTATAATAATAATCCTTATCGCATAGCTTCATAAATGTTTCACCGCCAGGCCCGCAGGGGCAACTCTAAAGAGTTATGATTGGTTTGTAATTAGAAACGGGATTCGTTACCATTGAGTCGTTGTGGTTAACTCTTAGCGTGTGAGCTATTCTTGTTTTGATTTTTATACTACGACGGACAGTTGCTGATCTTTTGGTGCCAAGTTTATTCGCGTTATAATAAAACCGATCTTGAGCATGTTTCATACGTGTGCCAACATTGATGCGTTTTTTCCATATACGGAATGTTCGCTGGATATTAGTTGCTGCTCGGTTTTTTTTTATGCATATATACAAAATGTGCCCACTTCCATTCTAAATGCAAGGGATTTGGAGATAAGCCCCCTCGGGGGTCTATATATTCATTTCTGGTTAGATTGTTTTTAATACGGAATACGAATTTTGCCAATGATCTTATTAGTAATATCATATCCAGATACTCTTGGCGAAAGGCTGGTATTCAGTGCAGGAATGAGGAAAGGGAATTAATAGTTACCAGCGATGGAGTAATATGATTCGTATAATCAGGCCCATAATGAAGCGACGATGAGAAGAACCTCATGATTAGCCCATTGCGTTCACATGTGCAAAAAAAGTTGAGCTGTTTGACATTTCAGCATGAACGCTCTTAACACTGTCCTGTATTATCTTTTAACTGTTAATAAGTTTTTTTAATGGCATGTAAGTTTTATTTCATAATATGTATAAAACTGAGTTCAGACCTTTAGGGGTACTAGGATTCTTGACATTGCCTCAACCAAAACATCACTGTTTCCAGTTATTACATGCATCTGGAGATTCAGTTGTGAGGGCACAAGTCCATCAATAACTGTTAAAAAGATGGTTTAGAAGAAGAAGCCAAGGTATGTGTGCTAGCAGTAATTGATAATGCTTAAATTAATTGAGTGTATATACCTGGTAGAATCATACGCATGGGTCTCAAGTATGATTGGATTTACCAACTGTGGCTTTTAACAGTACGACTGGTCAAAGACAAAACTACCGTTCCTTTACTAGAGTCAAACATCCGGCACTACAGGACACACAATATATTTTGCAATAAATTATTTACAACAACTTTTATTTATATTTCGCAAATTAGCAAATTGCTAAAGACTATAATTACCGAATTTTTCAAGCTGCACAATTACTCCTCCATTACAATACGTTATATCCTGTCGATAAGCGACTTGTGAACAAAAAGAGAAGAAGAACAGCTGATATAATTTCTTAGCCAAAGTATAATTAAAAGGCGATATTACTTCAGGAAACGTTTCCGAATTTTTCCTTGACCGCTCTCTGAACGACATATTTAAATTATATGTAGGCGATAAAATATATATACTTCACTACCGGTCATAGTATTCTATTTAATATATTTAATTAATAATATAAACTCACCTCAATACCTCAACCTGTCAACTCTTTAACACTTTCACAATGGAGTTTTTAACACTCCTTATGATTTCGACTGCAGAATCTTGTACAACTCAATCTTAGTAACGCATAGTATACACAGCGAAAGTCGATATGACGGACTTTTTCTCTGGACAGAATTTTTACTAAATAATATACGGTATCAATTATTACGGACTAAACCGTCGGTTCCGATCAGTCCGTTATATCGACCTTACTGTTTATTGTCAAAAAAGACGTTACGTAAACAAAAAAATTGGCGTTCTCTGTATGTACAAAATGTTCACTGTATGCACGTTCGCAAATTTTTTGTGTTACACTATGATCTCATTACACTCCGGAATTCTTCTGCCGTTTGTTTGTGAAGATATAGATAAATTTCGATAGCGCAGTAATATCGTAGCTCCGCAGCGGAATATTTGAAGAAATGCGTCATCTATTGCTATCAATATTGATCTGCGCCTCACTTTACCGGCTAGGCAAATTGATATTGATCAAGAAATGGTTAATATTAATACTTTTTAATTTTCAAAACGAACCAATTTGGGTTTATTTTGCGTCAGCGTCTAACTCTAGTTCAAAAAGTGTTTGCATGACGGGCACTGCGCTTCAGAAAAAAAGATGAGGCAAGTGAGGAAAAAAACCCCAAAGTAGTAAATTTGTGGTTGACGGCCAAGTTAATCAGCAGTCTAGTTGCTGTGCAATCAAAATAAAACTTTGGAGGAATTGGGGGAAACGTTCATAAACAACCAAATTTTGATTCTCGAGCGACACATAATAGACAATAAAAGTGCACTCAAGTAATAGCTATTATACTCAAGCAGTTTGTATTCGGTTTTCACAATAGTGACGCCATCTTGCACAAAATCACTCGGCTATAACTTTGTTTTAATTTGGATAATAGCATGAGAAGCAACTTGTAGTGTACACCTGATCAAGTTTTGTGATTAAGATTGCCATTTTCTATTTGTGTTTACTGCCGTCAACCAGGGACACTTGAATTGTTTCGCTCTTTGAAAATTATTAATAGTATATCATTAAAAAGGTTGTGGCACAGCACAGTAAAATGTGTTTCATGATTTGTGACACTAGCATTTAGCGTCTTTTTCACTGCATCACTGCAGAGTACAGAAAGTTAATTTGTTTGTTGCATATGCTTAGCCCAATAGGAACTGATTGTCCATTTTTCACTGTTTTTTAATTCCAAAAAAGGTTATTCCAAAGGCGATTGAGCGGCTTTTGTTTTCACTGTTCAAAGCCGAATAAGACAAGAAGGCTTGCATGGCAGCGAGCGAGCCAAGTTCTGTTATAAATTCAAATTCTGTGATACTTTGGCGACAATGATTGGTGTCCATATTAATACCCGAGTTTTTTAACTGGTTCGTTTCGCATAACAAGGAAAGAAAATATGCAAACTGTTACCCAGGAACAAATTATGGGCCCCGGGAACAAATGATGGGGCCCGAGAAACTAAATTTGATCCTGCGCCACAGGTCTTTCTATTTTTATACCCAATTCATTGTTATACAAGGTTACATGATTAATGCATAAATTTATATTGACAAAGACCTTTGTCGGAAATGCATGTAGAAAAGCGGAGAAATTTGTTTTACATTTTCGACTTTCGGTTAAGAAAAACATGTGATCAGAATAACAATATAAATACAGCTGGCCGGAGTGCCACATTAGATAGAAACAGAATTTTAAACAATTAAACATGGATAAACCAACACCTTCCCCGTCAACTAGAGATGTGTTTGATATAATGTGAGTGGTCACAACGCTGTTGCAACGATATTGATCCACACCAATCTTTATATTTATTTCTAAATCTTTGTATGCGTTTAATATCTCTTGCCATTATAGTCAAGAAAGCAGAATTAACACAGATAATGCTTCACATTTGTTGCCCGAGAGCTCTACATCCTCCAACACCTCTGCCTCCTCCTCCACCACCACATCTCCACCATCATCCCCTCGAATAACCCCTCAATCGACTTCAAAGGAGCCTACATCTCGTTCCTCCACAACTAAAAAGGACAATGATGCCTTTACTATGCCACTCATCAGATATATTGGCCGTGCCGCAAAAACACTCGCTTTGACCTTCTTGTTTGACTGGACGCAAATCATTCGTCATCCTATCGGATCATTAACAACTCTAATAGTATATCCATTGACATCTGGTCTTATGGTCGTTGTTTCTGTGGGATTTCGACTGATTGGTCGTTTCAAGAAACAGACAGGTAATAAAATATAAACGTCGCTGATGTCATTGACGGACTCGTTTTCTTCATATGTGTTGCTTACCTATTCATTAACCCCCCCCCCACTTTTATTAGAACAACACCCAAAGATGTTTGATGAGGTCGAACAAGAACTTGTTAATACGGCTGGTGACTTTCTCCAGTCCTCGTTTGGACTCGCATATGACAAGATCACAAAGATAACCCATCACAACGACTACGCAGACGCCCGTTACATACGTCCTTCTTTCAACATAGATGTTGCCGAATTCTTGTTAGTTCTCTCGGCTCTCATGTACGAACGTGAGGAACCTCCTAGTGGAGAGTACTCTAGCAATGACGGCGAACTGGATCGCAATACTGATTATATTCGTGAGAAAGCTCATCACTGGGGTTTAGAATTCAAGTCACTATCTGAATTAGGAACAAGTGCGAGTCCATTTTGTGGCGCGTTCTGGGATCCGCATAAGAACTTTGTCGTTATTGCATTTAAAGGAACGACACCGACCGACTTTGCCGAATGGATTGTTGATGCTTCTATTATGCGTACTGATGGCAGGACACAGTTATTCGGTGAAGTGCATGAAGGATTCTATAGAATGCTATTTGGAAACGAGAAGAAAGGGCGTTCCAAGTTGATTGAGAGTTACTCGTATAGAAATATATTGAAAAACTTGCTTGGTATTATAAGTACTATTAATGGAGGGAAAATCAATGTCTGGGTTACTGGGCATTCATTGGGAAGTGCCCTTGCGTCCTTGTTTTATGCGAGATTGATGCGCAGTCCTGCAGATCTGCCGGATGATTGTATTTTAAGGTATATTAAAAGTTCAGCCATAATCGTGGTTACTGTTTAGTGAACATTCTATTAACTTGTTTTTCTTTTTATTCCAACAGAGACGCCTACATCTACGGGACACCATGCATAGGGAATGGTGAATTCGCCATTAACTTCTCCTCGCTCTGTAACACGCCATCTAATCGTTTCAATACGTGCTGGCGCGTGATAGACGATAAAGACATTGTCTGCAACGTTCCAGTTGGATTCGACGACCTTGAAGTACTGCAATACGTTAGCGATAATTATATTTTCGACTATGCTCATGTTGGCGAAGCTATAAGGCTTTTCCAGGACGGGCGAAAACCAAAGACGGAAGTCGCTGGGTTGCTCGAGGAGCGGGAGGAGGGAAATGTGGAAATAAGCGATGATGTTGATGACGATGAGGAAAAGTATAGATTTGTACCGGCTTTTCTAAAAGATCATTTTACATTTAGCTATTTGAGGGCTATAAAAAAGGCGAGACCGTATTTCCCGAGTAGCAAAAAAACAAAGGAATTATATAAAGAACCGCAACCTGTACCAATTTGCTTGAATAACGATCAAGTAGATAATAATGTAAAGAAAGCTGTTTAATAATGTAATATTATCTTGTGAATTAATATTAAATAAATATTGCTAATATTGTTACTCTCAAGTAATAACGTTTTTCCGCGAGTGGAGAGTGTAAAATTTTTGTGCTGTTCATTAACTCTTAACAATTCGGTAACAAAGACTGTTCCCCAATTGCTTGTTTACAATTCATTGTCTAAGAACATGTTTGAGTACTGAACACCCGATACATAAAATTCATTATTATAATGCCTACTAAATTTAACGTATAAATGGTTCGCATATTAAATCTATTCATTCTCATACTGATTCTTCGTGTGCAATTCAAATTCGGAGGGAGGTCTCCTAACGAGTGGGAACCGTTCGCGACAATGAAATGCCGAGTTAGCGTGCGTCATATGACGTTCATGGAACGGAGATCTCCTCCGAAGATTCTTTATTATTATTGCTTGCTAATAATATAAAGTTTACACAAACGTTGTACCATATATTTTTAACTTAATTCTCGTAAATTACTTTGGATTTTGATTTCAAAATTAACCTCGTAATAAATCTCTAATCCCACAAGCCGAAAACATATTATATAAAAACTGCCCTTTAATCCGTAAAATTTCACATTATGGGTGTCATAATATTTCTCGTACTTTAGCCCATGAAGAATACCTTTTAATTATCATGCTTGTGTAATCATTACTACAATTATTCACAGTCAATAGTCATTTTTACCAATTCATTAACAAAGACTTATTATACAATTCTCTGTTTTTGTTTTATTGTCATCGCCAAGCTTTTCACAGACGCATAAAAGTAAATTTCCAACAATCAATCAATTGTGTAATGTTTGTGCAGCAAAGCTTTGTAAAGTATGGTTAACTATAGTCCTCAACTGAGACAACTTGATCCAGGACTGAGACGGAATAGCGTATGTAACAAATAAAGTTTGCAATCTGATATGACGATTGTAGTGCACAGTAAAATTCGGCTAACAAAGTGTTCATTTGTGGACAGCTTTTCGTTAACTTTACTTTGTGAAACCAGACTTTATTCTCACTATCAAGAACAATAGTTATAAACACAATTGAATGGTTTTTACCTTGTGGCAAACAAGTAATCGATAGTGTAAGACTTTATCTTGTTATTCGAGTTTACCGTTACGGATGGGTAGAGCATTATTATATTTACAATAATCTATTTATTCCACATAACGATAAGCCTTTTTGCATGTCTATCAAGTTTCTTGTTCGATCATCAGATAGTGTTTACGTTTCGGACAAATACAAACCAAAAGTTAATATTATATGATTGCTCATCGGTATAATTACTGCAATGACTGGTTTAGTCATAATATAAACTTTACTTTTGCAAAATACAGACAACCGTTCATATCGATATAAAGGAGAGAGAGAAGAACAAGAACGTGAATTAAAATATGGCTAATGCAGACAAGTATTCCAACTATAGTTAACATCTTGGCGCATTCTCGGGTGATACAGAATAGAAGTAAACAGTGGCTCGGAGTTTTCACAAAGTCATTCTTTTATTTTAGTTTGGATAACTACAAGCAACTCGTACTGTATACGCTGAACTGATCAGTTTGTGATTAAACAACGTAAGATTTGCGTTTTCTATTTTGTTTATAGAGACTCGCACCCGCGAAAAAAAATTTTTTGCCATAGCGCAGTAAAATGTGGGTTTCACGGATTTGGTTAATTCGTTTCTACAGCCAATAGGAACTAGTATTCATCCATCGTTTGTTTTTCTCATGCCAATGTTATAAATTCGAATCCTTTGATAATGCGCATACTATAATGTCAGTGTTTTAACTGCGTATATTCGAAGCTAACGAGGAAAGGAAACGAGGCGCATCACATAGATTTCTTTGTTTGGGATGTTATGGCGTGTTTATGTAGCTATTTTAAACCCATGCCGTTATATATACATTGTCGATTTAATCTACTTCTATACAAGATTAGATGCACACGTTATTGTATGTCATACTTTAGTAAATGTGTACAAAACATTGACCTTCAACGGAAATGGATGTTGATAAGAAACATGTTTTGCATGTGATGGAATACAATATAAAATAAAGGTTAAGGCGAGAACCCAGCAAACAGAATGTCAGCCAACATGGAAAAACCAACGCACACCATGTCACGTAAAGACTTGCTTGATACAACGTGAGTGATTTACAACACTGTCGTACGACATGCTCTCACAACTTCTAAATTTCGTGTACGACGTTTTATATACATTTTATTTTGCCATTATAGTCAAGATGATCTATCAACTCGAAAGCCTAAATTTCATCCTTCCGAAAGATATATCGAGGATAGGAATGCCTTCACTTTGCCACTCGTCAGATACATTGGCCGTACCACGAGTACACTCGCTTTGAGTTTCTTGTTCGACTGGACGCAAGTCATTCGTCATCCTTTGGGATCAGTGACAGCTCTAGTAGCATACCCATTAGCATCTAGTATTATGATTGCTGTTTCTCTGGGATTTCGAACCTTTAGTCACATCGATTCTGGAGAGCTAGGTAAAAAGTTAGGTGGGTAATAAAATTTATATTTGCGAGTGTCATTAACAAGTCGGATCTGTTGTTTAAAGCATAAACTCGTGGATATTTGCATATTCTCTTTTTCACTTGTGACGTTTACATATTTATTATCGGATCAAACCTCCACCTTTACTAGTCTCAAAAATGTTGGCGTATGAAAAAGTCAAACAAGATCTTGTTGATACGGCCGGTGACTTTCTCGAAGACTCGTTCGGACTCAAACACGACCAATTCACAAAGATGACCCATTATGTCGACTACTCAGACCCCCGCTACATGCGTCCTTCTTTCAACATAGATGTTGCCGAATTCATGTTAGTTCTCTCGGCTCTCATGTACGAACGTGAGGAACCTTCTGATGGAGATTACCCTAGCAATGACAGCGAACTGGAGCGCTATACTGCTTTTATTCGTAAACAAGCTCGAGAATGGGGTTTAGAATTCAAGTCACTATCTGAATTAGGAACAAGTGCGAGTCCATTTTGTGGCGCGTTCTGGGATCCGCATAAGAAGTTTATCGTTATTGCATTTAAAGGAACGACACCGACCGACTTTGCCGAGTGGGCTGTTGATGCTACTTTTATGCGTACTGATGGCAGGACACAGTTATTCGGTGAAGTGCATGAAGGATTCTATAGACTGCTATTTGGAAACGAGAAGAAAGGGCGTTCCAAGTTGATTGGGAATTACCCGTATAGGAACATATTGAAGAACTTGCATTGTATTATAGAAGATATTAAAGGAGGGGACATCAATGTCTGGGTTACTGGGCATTCATTGGGTAGTGCCCTTGCGTCCTTGTTTTATGCGAGATTAATGCGCAGTCCTACTGATTTGCCGGATAATTGTATTTTAAGGTATATTTAAAAGTTCAACTACCATAACCTTGATTACTGTTAGTGAATATTCTATTAATTTGTTTTTCTTTTTATCCAACAGAGACGCCTACGTCTTCGGGACGCCCTGCACAGGCAACGATACCTTTTCCGTTAACTTTTCCTCGCTCTGTAACACGCCTTCTAATCGGTTTAATACGTGCTGGCGCGTGATAGACGATAAAGACATTGTCTGCAGAGTCCCGCTTGGATTCGATGATCCTCAAATATTGCAATACGCTAGCAAGAATTATATTTTCGACTATGCTCATATTGGAGAGGCTATAAGGCTTTACCAGGACGGGCGTGAACCAAAGACGGAAGTCGATGAGTTGCTGCTCATGAAGTCGAAGGGACATAGGGCAGTAGATGATTTTAGTGGACAGGAGAAAGGGTATGGATTTTTACCGGCTTTTGTCAAAGATCATCTCCCGTATAGATATTTGAAAGCTCTGCAGATGGCGAGACCGTATTTCCCGAATAATGCCAGAACAAGGGGACTTCATAAGGGATTTGGTAGCTTTGGGGGGGGATCTGATGCAAAGAAATTCATTTAATTTTGTGCATAAATACTATTTTAACTGCGAGTAGAGAATCTTATTAAAATTTTTGTACTCACGACTTTAATTTGTTAATTCAATAAATAATTCGGTAGCCGATAAATGATTCTGATTTCGCGCTTGACGGCAAATTAAAATGGACAAATTTGTAAAATGAGCTGTGTTTGAAGTCGTACGATGTTCTCCCTTAGTTTTACGAATGTCGATATTCAGGGTCCATGATTAGCAAATAAGGCGCGCGCAAAAATAAGACATTATATATATGTATATCCCTACCAAAAAAATGTTATATCCCGATCCCTCAAGAAAATCATTTGATTTGTGGTGCACTACCTGTTCATGATCAACGTGTGGTCGTACGTAGGATTCCTTGGGGCAATAACCTTGAACTCAGTTTCGTGTTGTCCTCCTAGTAGTACAGGGTGTCGTTCCACATTTCACGCGACCTCTGGACGGTGCCGTCCTTCTAGGAATACAGGTGTTGTTCCGACTGTGGGTATGGGGATGTCGTTCCCCTAGACAGCTCATTGTCTGATATTAATATTCTTAGCAGCTTCCATCAAGTGCAAACTTCTGGACAGTGTCGCACATTTCATGAGCTTCCTCACTGTCGATAGCCTATGGCAGTGTCGCTCCGACTATGGGTATGTGACAAGTATGGAGCCAGCTTCTAATTTTATGTATTTTAAACCTTATTCCCTCACTGTCGCACCTGCAACAAAAAAGCCATGGTGAAGTCCTTTACAAAAAAACCGGTTCTTAATTATAATAATTATGGATGTAAAGTGAATGCTAAAACTTATCAATTGAGGTTTGAAAGGGTGTAATATAGCACTTACATTGTTCACACCGGGAATTAATATGAGGTATGCTGCAGACAAAGTGAACAGATTTTTTTTAGTATTAGTGGCACAGTTGTGGGCCATGTCTGAATTCATGGATAAATTTTAGTTGCATTTTAAATCTGTATTAATTTGGTATCAAACTGTAAACCTGGTTGGAATAAACGGTTTACCATTATAACAGTAATGTATTTCATGTAGGATTACCTCTATTTATAAAAGAAACTAATTTACATTAAGTCCACCATGGAACCAAAGAATTACAGCACACTTAGAAACATTTTAAAGAAAGTTTGAAGAGAAGAAAAAAAATGCTCCATACGTTTTTAAAATCAATGATACCCAAACTCTCTTGATAAAGAAAAATCTACTTATGAAATTTACCAAGAAGAACAAAAAATAATAAACAATAAACGAACATTAATGCCAACTTATGATGAACCAAGAAAGAAACGAAAACTAGAAACATAAAGCAAATATCTGTTTCTTTATAATTATCGATAATCAGGACAAATTTCCATGACTCTTTATATACTGTTCGAGTAAGAATAGAATAAATACAATAACTTTGGTTCGCTGTGCCTCAAGTACTACAAATCCGACACATTTCATGACCAGCAAACCTGTATTGTTTTAGAAACAATGGGTAAGTATTAAAGGTAATAAAACGGAAACATTAGAATAAATTGTTAGGAGAGCAGCCGTTTGAGCCAAATGTCACGAGAGAGCAAAATGACACGTGATAGTGACTCGTAAGGATTTAACTTTCTTCAAGCAGAGCGTAGCGCCTCCTACTAAGAGTTGAACCAGACTGACCTTTCGCTTAGGCTTTTACGCTGACGGCAGTTCCGTTTGCCGGATCGCGACACTAATCCTAGTACTAGATAATTACCGTATTCTTCCGAAAATAAGCAACACTGCGGAAAAATTGATAGATTATTTTATTATTACAATAAAAAAATTTATAAAATTGTCGGAAAAGATTAAGCCGTGATATCAGTCTCACCAATAATGTCAATAATATCATCCTCGCCAATGACGAAGTCAGTGGTATTATCGTCATCATGATTATCATTATCATTAACATCATCGCCGTCGCTGACTTACCATAAAGAACTACCATTTCAGGTTCTTTTAAGATTTCTAATATTTTGTTTCTTATTGTTATGTAGCCACTGCAAGACCTTGTTTTCTTTGCTGTATAATCCAGGTATAAAGCTTTTTCTCTGCTTCTGGAAATAAGGCTTTTCTGCCAGCAGCAACCCGCTTACTTTTCTCCTTTGTTTCGCTTTCCATTTTGAACTTGCACGACTTATCATACTACAATCAATGTCAAAGTGTCTTGCTGCTTGGTTATTTCCATGGTTTTTTGCGTAGGCAATTTATGTACAAATTTTGTGTTCGTTTTACAATTTGGGTCTTACGTTTAACAGTTTTGACAACTCTTCTCTGTTTTGTCATTTGTATAGAAGAAAGAATAGGTTTAAAACCTGTTTCGCGTATTTACGTGATAAATCACGGATGATGAATCTGAAATTTATCGACAAAAATCACATGATTCGGTGGTTGCGTGATCGAATTTCTTTCGTTTTATTAAACTACCCGAAAATAAGCAACACTATAACAAAAAAGTGTTGCTTATTTTCGGAAGGAATACAGTATTTGCTCTCGAGATAATTAATAACGACTATCTGCCGATGGATTATTTCGACATTCTGTCCGTTTTAAATACACCTAATTATTAACGCGTTATACTCAGCAATTAATTATCTTAATTCGCTACTCAGATAATCGAGGGACAAGAATCGATTATCCTTCTCCGATATAGGAATTAGTGATTCTATCTATATCGAATAATTCAGGGAAATACGTAAGTTAGTTTTTATGAATGCGATACTCGTTATTGATAAGTAAATAAAGGAATCGGAAAATAATAATAATTGAACTTTAAGACACTCGAAACACACCGAAACTAGCTGACTTCTACGCTGCTTTTATATCTTTCGAGCTACTAGTTGTCCTATTTTTAGCAATGTATTTTGCTTCATTTGACACTAAGTAATCTTCCAGATTGAAACATCGTTACGCAAGGATCTGCGTTGCACAACGCATATGTGTAACCATCAGCTGACTGTCACTATCATACACTCCCTACCATAAATTACCGGATTTCATATTTTTTTACTAGTAAATCATATGAAGTCTTTTTTTTTTTTCAAAAGTCTCTCCTGCCCATATGTACTATGTGAATGGCAATAGTTTTTGTATAGTTTTGAAGCTAATTAATTGTGCTTTTCGAAAAAAGTTAACTATAACGGTAAATTATATATATTATTATTATAAAGCTATAGCTTTGTAAAATAACAGTCTTTAAATTATGGTATAAAAATATATGAGTATATATGTGGAGTACATATACTCTTACTTCCTTGATTCTACAGTTTTATAACAAAAATGTATATAATTTGCTGTTGATTTTTTTCAAAAAGCACAATTAGTTGGCTTCAAAAACTATTATCATTCACATAGTACACATGGGCAGGAGAAATTTTTGGAAAAAAAAAAAGACTTTTACTAGTAAAAAAATATATATAATCCGGTAATTTATGGTATTGTCGACTTTTATAATTACAGAATTATACCTGACAACAAAATACAAATATGGTGCGAAGAGGGTATTAATTTGGTTAGCGTCATGCAGCAAAAGACGGACTGTTCTTATATAAATTTAAAAAAAAAAATTTAAATAATCGATTTCAATTTTCAATGGACGACAGGCGTTCTTACAAAAACCATGACAAAGAGAAATAATCACCGAGTTCATAGAACCTTTCAGGTGTGTTTTTGCACGCGGAAAAAATTCTCCAACGTATTGATCATATTAAACAAAGTCTATGTTATATAGAACTCAGGGGATAGTTATCCCGGACACAAGCAAGCTAGTCACTTGGCCTCATTTTCGTCCGCTCTCCATAATCACATACTGGGACGCGTCCGTCCGCAGTCAAACGGGCCTGATATACAACAAGGCAATAGAGTCGAGAATGCAAATGATGCCGATCTTGGAGTGGTGTCGCTCCAATGTTGTCCTAACAAAGGAAAAATCTATGAAATGTCGACATCCTTGGGGCAACTGTTCCGAGTCGGTACCTTGGCATGCACTAACTGGACGACGGAGGAGCCGACAACACCGTGTTGTTTTATATAGCCGGACCATATTTTTATGCAGAATGCAGATGGTGACCATGTTCCCATGCATCAAGTGCCAGTGGGTAGCAGACAGGATGGACCACATGGGCATTGCAAGAATTCTCTCATGGTAGTGGAAAAGATTAAGAATGGATCTGACGCCCACCGTATTGTAAAATCTATTTGGTATACGCTCATAAAAAAAGAATCAGATGTTACTGTGTATTAAAGAGTTTGGTTTTGATCACATAATCATCATTGGGGAACATGAAAATGGATTGCTTTTTCTTGACTGTTATGGTCGAGTATTTGATTGGGATTATATGATTGTTCAGTTACGACCACTTGGGAAGAATTTGGATGAATGCGACATTACCCGCTTATCGCAATGTTACAACTACTTCTATCACCAACTTTTTAACATCAGGGATTTTGTTCAGTTTACGACGAAACTGATATATGCGAATGAAACCCTCTATTACATTACTAAATTCAACACTTCTACAGAGTAAGATCTCTGAATCCCATTTACCCGATAACGCTCTATCAACTCCAACAAACTGCAACTTATTTCTTGTTTACCAAATGAGGAACTTTCTACAATACACTCCAAAAAGAAATTACTAGTAACGTTTCTTATTGTATTCATTTTTTGATGAAATAAAGTATTATAGTTCGTCTACTTTATTTTATGTGTTGTGTTATAATGTATATCTTCTGATCCAAAACTTATTTATGCCATCCTATTGTTACGGTCACGTCATTTCGATTTGTATACTTATGATGTATAAACGAATGTTTGTGTTATGTTGCTTATCGAAAGGTGTCATCATGAGAATATATAAATTGTACACCCACACGCGAGAAAGATCAATTAGCGAAAAAATGTCAACAACAAAGTCATTCAGGGACGGCGATAAGCCCGAGTGTTTTCAAAACATTACGTACAAATACTTTTCAAGTACTGCTCATGGATACTATCGGAAGACTTTAACGTCGGCGATTTTGTTTTTTACGGGGAAACTAATATATGAGAACGAAACCCTCTATATTACGTTATTAAATTCAACACATCTACCATTTACCCGATAACGTTCTCCCTCTATCAACTCCAACTATAACAATTACAGGAACACCCCCAAAAAACTCTCCAATGTATGGATTCTTCCGGGCGGCATATCGTGAATACAACGCTGTGACCAGCAGCAAAAAATAGTGTAAGAAGAAGATACAAGATTTTATTCAAAAATTTTCCCTATAAACTCTTGCATTAATTTCCTAACTACATGTATATCACATGCTTATTGCTATTTTCAAAATTCTAGAATTTGGCCACAAAATTTTTTTAATCGATCGGAAGTCAGACCGGTATCTGGACGAGTTGGTTGCTGAGATGGAACAACGTACTGGGAAAGTGGTGTCTATACCTACGCTATGGTGGTCGTTGAAGAATTACTCGGAAAAAGGTTGACTATTCAGTGTATGTATTTATTATTATGTTATTTGATATTGCTGACGGCACGAACGTCGCCTTCTCATCTCCACAATCGCAACAACCATCACACCAGACACAGGCTTCTCAAACTCAAATTCAAACTCAAACTCAACATTTACGGCACAAATATCGCCCACAATCCCAGCAACCTCTATCACAGATGCATAATCAATCTACAAAATATCCACAGCACCATCAAGTGTTTATAGTCAAGGACATCAGTATCCATCTGGGCAAGATCAAGCTGAGATTGAAAAGAAAAATGTTGTTCCAATACCTGAGCAAAAACGACCAAAACAGAGTCAAAGCCTACTCCTTTCGTCTCCTGTTTGTTCGCTGTTATTACCACCGACGCCCGTTACTGCACCATCCCAATAGCGACGTTGGCGGTGCTTATTGGCACAAGTATGAAATTGGTTATTATAGTTTATATCACCCATTTATCGTTAAATATCGCGTTGGATGTGAGAGCGTGCGTGAACTGTATGCCTTTCGAGAATGCATGGTTGATCAATTACTTAAATCCATTCATTCATGTGATTGTCGTTTTCAAAAAATTTTACTTGATGAAAAATTAAAAAATTGCAAACTGCTATAATTTACTTCCAACTTGAACTATTTAATTTTATTTCATTTGTTTCACTGATACAGCTCCCCTTCTCTTGTCCTGCTCACTAGTTTAATACTATGAATTATCTTAGCATATTATTACATTACGAAACATGGCAACACACTATATTCTGGCCAACGAAAAACTTTGCAATCCGCGTTTCCTTATTACGACACCCATCAATAAATTATTTATCACTTCAAACTAATATTACTGATGATATTATATTTGTTAATCCATCTCTCACAGACGGCGAGTTATAAAAAACTAAAAAGATAGTTTATGCTCCTTATATATTATTGCATTTGTTGGACAAATAACTAGAAGTTTAATTTGTGCCTGCCCGGCTCCGTCGGGCAGGCTTGTTGGGATAAATTTTTAATCATAGATTGAATTTTACATGACAAAAAAATAAAGTATATGGAAGTAAGCTGAGAAGAAGGGTGACTAACACATTTGTATAGTTAACTTTTTGTTTTTTACCTGTACTATTTCTGGTTGCACGTCTTTTTTTGTACTATTTTCTTGCTTAACTATAATATCGTCATCACTT